GTATTACCCTTAAATAAACAGTTAAATAAAATGATTTAATTAAACTGTAAAATACTATTTACAGAATTATATTAATTTCGAGTAAAATGATTAGGTTAAATTATTGTTCATAGTATAGTTAATATATTATATATTGTGAATGGAAACGATTAAATAAAATAAAATATCGGAAACGGTATTCGAACTAAAGTTACTTCATATAATATATGTAAAGTTATATATTTTTTATATTTTACTTTTAGAACCTGTATTCTTAATGAAGTCAATACGTAGGAAGTAACAGAAAGAGAAAAGAAAAAGTACCATATTAAAGAAATATTAAATTTACGGTTTAATAGAGGTTAATTAAAATATTTAATTCGTTAATTAGAATATTCGGCTATATATAATTCGTAAGAACTAAAAGTGAATTTTAATTATTTTAATAAATAAAAATATTCTACCAGTAATATTTAAACCGGCCTAGATAAAAAAGATTTTTTTAAGTTTACGGACTTCATTTATAACTTTAAATACAGAATTTCGATAAGAATCGAACCCGTACTTAAAGGAATCTAGGCTTAATTAGTATTACGTACCCTAACCGCCGTAAACATAATAAAGGCGTATTACGTAGCGAGATATTTAAAAAGAACGTATCTAAATTTTACGGGGGTTTACCTATAAACTTAAATATTAAGAACCTCAATGGGAGTCGAACCTACGTTTTTAGCGAAGCAACTAGCGTATTATATATTATATTATAAAGTTAGAAGGTATGAGGGGACCTAAATATAATTAGCGTTATATATTTTAATTATTTTAAAAAAGTTAGAGACGTATTACCGGTAATACTTTATATATTTAGGAGGGAAGGATTAACTATATTAGAATCGAAGGAAAGGTCGGAAAGATAGTTAAGGCTTAAAGAAGGGTCCGGGACGTAAGGAGATTATGTAACGGTATCTTAAGCGGCGTCCGGCCGCGTAGGAATACTTAATAAAAAACTAAGTAACGTTGCGGTTACGGACTACGCTACTTAGGTATCCTCCTCCTGAACGTTTTTCGTAGGTATAGAGGGAGTAACGTATTTATTTTACCCGGATAAACTTAATACTTAGTTATAAAAGTTATTTTTTAAGCTTTTACCTTAAGTTAATATTAAATCCGTTACATAGAATTTTATATTATATACATTTGAATATTATAAAAATCTAGAGGTTATAATATAAAAGATTCTGGAAATAAATTAGGTGGAATAAAGTATTACGGTAGAACTATAATAAAGGATTTCTAAAGTAAAAGAAAAACCTATTTAGTTTTATAATAACGATTCAATATATAATTAAACATAATAAGAAGTAAAGAAAAGTAAAGAAAAAAATTTATAATATTATAGATAATAATGGAGGGCTAGGCTATAGGGACTTCGGCCTAGAAAGGAAATATTATATTACGGTTTTAGAGAATAGTAGGGTTATAAGGAATTAATTAGGATTAAACTAAGCGATTAAGCGGGGCCTATAGTTTAGGTGGATCAGATAGACTAATAAGATAGGGACCGAGGACCGCGGTAGAGCCTACGGTCTATGGTCTAGCATCAGCTAATTAGGAGTAAACCGAGGACCGTCTATAACAGTCCACCGGTCCCTAGATCTATATATACGGAGGAACTGCTTAGTATAGATAGATAGTTCCGCAGTATATAATTTAAGTTATAATTGTTAGTATCTTAGTTATTGTAATCGAGATAAGCTATTTGTTATATACTGTTTAGCTATACTAAACTAGGATTGTTTAGAAGTGCCTTTAACTAGTATCCTTTTCAGAGATTCTGGATAGGAGTTCGTTATACTAACTATTTAAATATATTTTATATACCTTGAGTTTTTTATACACTTTTTGGATTTTTATTACAATAATCAAAATCTATTAAAGAATATAGTTTTTCTAAAGGGGTAGTATTTAATATCATAGAAGTTTATTTTTATTTCCATTACTGCCCTAATAGTTGTTTTACTGACGAAGCTGGTGCTAGTTAGGTAGCACAATTTCGCCGACTACTTAGCTTAACACCACGTGAACCAATCCAAAAGCCCAACGACGCTGCCCAACGATATCTTCTACCCTTCGCTCCCTTCCACACACAACTACTCCGGCAACAATACTCGATATGGACTCCCAGTATCACAGTACCCTTTTCCACATCCCCTTCGAGGTTCGGGATGCTATATACTCATCTCTTTTCAGTTCTACAATACTTTCCTTTGCGACTTCAGTTCCAACCGACGATGCAAGACTCAATAAACTCCAAGCGCCATTACATGCTATCGCTCTGCTCCGCACCTGCCGAAGGGCTAATGCGGAAATCTCCAAGTCATGGCTCAGTCACGTCCTGTTTTATTTCGATGATCCGATGTCGCTGCTTGACAAGCTCGCGCCTATCCCCTTGGAAGAGCTGTCCCTCATTCGATATATCTCCGTGCGTGGGGATCCTCTGCTGCTTACCTACCCGCCAAAAATACAAGTACATCACAATCTGGTTGGTGTATTGAAGCTTCTTCCCCGGCTACAGCTACGCCAACTTACGGTTTTGGGGAGCGGTAGCGACAAGTTCCAATATCGGATGTTGGACGAGTTCATCAAGCATGGGAACGGTTGGCAGGAATTACGTTTCATTAGTCACGACTCTGGGATGCTTGGGTATGCTTATTATTGCCTTGATCCGACACTTTGTGACCGGTACCAACGGCGACCACAACCAGAGCATTGGCAAAGAGTGATGGAGGAGAGAGACGGTGTACATTCTTACCCGTCAGTCTCAATTTATCGAGGAAAGCGGGCCGGTCATTGCGGAGCTGTCTTCAAGCCTGAAACCCGGGAGGTGATGGCGCAAAGTCACAACGGGGCACCATTTTCAGTGGATGATTACGGAACAGCGGAGGACCCAGTGTTTATCAGTGAGAGTGAACGAGGCAAGGAGCTCATGGTGGCTGTCAGAAGAGGCCAGCGAGGTATGGACTACGAAGAAAAGGCCAATAGTCCATTTCTTCCAGGTCGCGACATTCGGAGAGACTTTCCGGGCAAGACTTGGGTTGAGATCCGCGCTGCATGTACCAAGGCAGCATATTGATAGTCGGACGGCCGCCCACTTGAAAACAGCCTCGATCTCTACCTGGGCATCGATGAGCTCATCTGAACTTCGCGTTGTACCTATGCCCTAACAATCAGAGCACCACTATTAGAAACACCCTTGAACTCTCCAGGACCACGAGCTCTTATCTGTATCTGTTGAATATTACAACATCCGGGCCAGATGGTCATATCGCACTCTCTAACCACGCTTCTAGCTGACTTAAGCTGCCTCGACTTCGAGGATCCTCTTGACGGACTGTATAGGCCTCCAGATTTCGACAATGTTGAGCCCAGCGCTGGCTACCAACTCACGCCACTCTTCCTCGGACCGCTCAGCCGCGGCAAGACATGCCATCATGGTAAGATCGGATACAGTAACCCTTGAAGGCGTCTTCACGCTGCTCACCAAACTTTCATGTATCAGCGGTCTCGGATAGCCTTTCCTCACAGCAGGTGCCAAGGTCTGCAAGATCTTCTTGGCCGTCTCAGCTGGTTAGCCATGCAACAATTTGTCCCTGAAATAAAATCGGGCGCCCCTTTGATTTTGCCGGCTGTGGAGTGAAGAAATTGTGTAGCTGTAACTGGATGACGGGACCGACATTCACTCCATTGAGGGTACCGAGTAAATCTTGAAGGGCCAGACAGCCAGGGGCAGTCTCTGGATGCCGGGCCAGAAACTTCTTCAAATCATGACCTTGACACCGCCGATATTTACGACAAGCGGGCGAATCTTGTCGTTGTCGATCTGTGAAGGAAGGGCGAGGATGGTGTCGAAAGGGTGTATATCGACCCAGGGCGTCGGGTTGTATTTGGAGTGGCACTCCAGAGCATCGTTGAAATCTGATGTCAGGGGCGTACTTGTCCATACATGCCAGCAAAAGAAAGATCCTCAACCAGAGCCTTTGCCCACGGGGTTCGCGCATATGTATATTGTGCAACTTATCTGATCAGTGACTGGCCGGATATGTATGGCACGCATCATGCGCCCTACAAGTTCACCACTCCAACATCAATGTCCGTGTTCCGTATCACACTTTTAAGCAAGAGGGAAATGCGAATGAGAAGCTCATCGGCACCCGTGAGTTGAGCCAATATGGAGCATGTTATGGGGGCTCCTTCACGCTCGGCCGCCCATTTTGTAAACACGCCAGCGTCGATGAGGATTTTTAGTGCAGTGTTGATGCTGGGGATGACCCAGTTTTGGTCCCAGGCGATGTCCCAAGGACATTGAATTCTCCGCAGGGCTTCGGAACGCTGCGTCTCTCGCACGCATTATTTCGGTGTTTGAGAAGTACGTGGCGTCAACGCACTCAAGACTGGCCAGGAGCTGGTCTGTTGGTATCATATTGTGCTGTCGGTAAAATTTTATCTCATTTGAGGCTGTCGTCGAGTGGTAGATTGGCACGGGGCCGTGTGTATTTATCATCAACCTCACTCTCCCCCTCATTCCGATACCGCCACGCGGCCCCATGTGCGGATATCTGTGGTTAGAATGATATGGAAAGTCCAGGGACAAGCTCAAAAAAGACTGCTGCACAATACAAGTAGTTCGTCATGGCCCCTGGTCATAGGCTTTCTTTGTGGCCCACCTGACCACTTTTATGTTGAGTACACATTGGTATAACAACCATATCCACCCCTTGCTAAGCACTGTTGTCAAGCTTTCCGTGTAGGCTCGAATCAGGATAATAGGCGAGCAAAACAGCGCCAAGCACCAACGGAGTATCGAAAGTTGTATAATCTTGTTGATGACCTGGGCACCATTTTGATCCCGCCTGCGGTGGGCTCAGGTGAAAATCATTCTGAGATCCAGATGTCCTCCCCACGCATAGCGCTCAACGTGGGTGGATATTGAGTGAGGGATTACACGAGTACACTAAGAGGTTTCAGTACATGGCTTGTGTGATGTTGGGGACTGGGGAGTGTAGTTTGCTAATCGAGCATGCTGCGCAGCGTCTGCGGTGACTTTCATAGCCCGGTTCAATCTTATCCACTCGGTCTCTCAGGGATGCACAGTGTCCACGAACAGGGACACTTGACTAAGTATGAAGAATTCGTTCCAGGATATAGCCAGGTCTCCCGTCAACAGTGACGTCGGGTAAGATCTCGCGACTAAGATAGATAGCCTTGGAGGAGCGACCTGGAAGTCGGAGGATCCACAGTATGATGGGTGTGTCCGTTGCTTCCCACTCTCTGGGCGGGATCATACCGCAAGGGCATGCTGGTAGTTTACAGACCAAAAGTGACAAAAAGGAACAATCAAAAACCCACAGCTTGCAGTTTCCAGTTGTTTGTTTCATTTTAGCTTTGACAGTGGGTGGGGCCTTGTTGGGGTTCCCCCCAGCATACTCCGTTGCTCCTCTCGCTCTGCCCCCCCCTCTTCAAGCCTCTCTTCATCTCTCTCCAATACTGTCTACAGTTTCCCTAACCCCTCCACTCAATCTTCGCAACCAACCTGCTATGTGGGGTCTCGAGCTGCCACCGAAGTGTTGTGTAGTCTGTAACGTGTGTGTCAATGTGTCACGTTTATTAGCCGAAGGCCATCGTGTGACGAACCCCTGTACAGAACCTCTGAAAGGGATACGGGGTTGGAGGGAAACGTCCGACAATATGGTCTGGCGC